AGAGGGGGAGAAGAAAAAGAGGAAAAAGAGAGAAAAAAATTATTTATATAAATAAAATAAAACCAGAAGAAAATAATGCAGCACCAGCAAAAACAGGACTGAATACAGCAGTCTCTAATCACAAAAAAGGGAGCGGGGTGGGGGGTGGGGCGGAGAAGAAAAAGAGGAGGAAGAAGAAAAAAAATAATCTGTAGCTTAATATAAGTATGTCTTTAATGTCCTAACTCTCTTTCAGTCACTTCTGCCCTTCTCTCCTTGTTGTTAAGTGCTGTCGAGTCAATTATGACCATCTGACCCGTAGCGACCCTGTATAGGGTTCCGAGGAGCAGCTGGTAAGCTTGAACCACTGACCTTGCAGTTCAAAAGCCTTTGCAGTGTGGTGCCTTAACCCACAGTGCTATGCTGGGACTCCTCTCAAACCAGTGAAAAAACACAGACCAAATGGGACTCACATCCGTGTCTAAGCTTGGGCTGAGTGTGCGGGTTCCTGGCAGAAGAAACCATCAGCAGTGAGGGTGGGTCATGGTCACTCAGCTAAGCCCCTACCTCTGTTCGCCCGAATGGAGGTGGGCAAACAGTGAGCGTACTAATTACCTGACATCAAAGAAAAAAATAAAATCAGGACCACACAAAATTGGCAAAGTATATTGTGCACCTTTTTTTCCCAAGGTTCCTGCGGCGTGTTTCCATGGTTTCTCTGTGGCTATTTGGCAGTAGTCGCTGACTCTTCTCATGTTTCATCCCGCTACTTGGTCTCGCCTGGGATATCGGCTCAGGCCTCCGAGCCCGGCAGATTCAAAAGTACGGATTTTTTACTTCAGCTCCAAATTCCACAGGCTATAAGCCTTCAAACCTCTAAATTATTCCTATCTCTGTGGGTCCGAGTTTTGGAGCTCTGTCCTGCCTCTTTTTTGCCTGGAATTCTGAGTTATTGCTGACAGCGACCTTCACTACACCTTCACCTTAGCCGCCATCCCTAAAACATTTTTAAATAAGGGAATATAAAAGCTTGTTGACAGATGGACAAAGTATATTGAAAAGCAATGAGATTATGTCATAAATTGATGTATTTGTCTTTTCTAAAGCTGATTAAAATAAATTGTATAGCCAGAGTGTGGATAAATTTTGACTCACCCTTGTACATCGAACTCTTTCATTCCTACCTGCTCCCCTGCTGTTTTTCCTGCCTGAAGTTAAGTGTCCTCTTGGTCACCTTTCATAATTAAGTCCTGGCATAAGAACTACTTCTAGTCTCATAATCCCTAGTGCATGCTTCCATTTTAGCCCTTTGCATAGTGTGACGTCTGTTCTTGATTTGATCCTCAAAACCCTCAGGGTGTAGAATGATGATTATTTAATATAAAATCTTTGGTTATGTTAGTGAGTTAATCTAGAACAGAAAGTGTTTTTTAATTCATAAACTATTTACTCTTATGTTCTTGTTGCCTGCAACTAGAACTGCATCTGTTCTAGAACCTTCTTCTATGTTTTTCTGGAGATGTGTTGTTATAATAATGACTCCTGCCACACCAAATACTCACCAAATTTTCTGGCTGTTTCTCTTTGCCAACATGGATATATCTGTACATGGAATAGCCCATTACAAAAAAAATAACCACACAAATGGAAATGGGCAAAACATAGTATAAGATGATTTTAATCTTCAACTCCAATGTTCGATCTGTTAATAAAAAAAGAAGTGGGGAATAGTTGTGATTTGGTGTGGTGGGAAATAATGCCAATGACAAGAGACTTTTAACAGGTCTCTCACATTTGGTAACTTGGTTTATAATAGCCTATATAAACCAAGGAGTGTGAGCTAGATGTTATAAGGGGTCTTTGAATTCTTGCTCTGACAATAGATCACCTTAAGAAATGATCTGGAATTCCCCTCAAGCATTTACAATAAAGGCTACATTTATAATCCAACTCAGCAGATCTCTCAACAGTTTTTTCTGGCTATGAGATTCATGCTGGTTTTCATACTTGAAGTGGGTCTGATATTCAGACAAATCACAACACTTAAATCAAAGGCTCTCTTGTGAAGATTCCACTAAGATGCCCCACTATTCTATGCCCCTCATCTTAATCATTTCCTGATAGTCAGTAGAAGACAAGAATGTGTGGGATCACCTTTCATGTGAGTTCTGTATGAAAAATAAGTGTTCTCACACTAGTTGGCTGGATTTTCTGGGTACAGCTGGAGGGTGGCTGAGTAGGCATTTAGTATGGCAACAACAATGCCCTCCCAGGTCTTGCTGGTGATGAGTAAGAGTTATAGAAGGATGAAAAGACCCTATGGATAGTCTTAGAACAAGCATCCCAGGTCCACTGTTGGTCAGACTATGGTTGATGACAATAGTCATCATGATTAATTCTTATTTGCCATCAATTCCCATGCTGGCCTGGGCAGTTGACAAAAAACCAGCTCTAATATAAATGACAAGAGTCCGAGGGTACTCTTCACATGCTAATAAAATCAGCAAGATATATGGGAGTAGCCTAATCTATGCTGGCATCGACTGCTCTTGATGGTGGCCCCCAAGAAAGCAACAGTTACTAAAGGGCTAAAGACTGGAGGCAGAAGTATCATGGAAGGTGAGGATGGCCAATAGTCTGGTGTGAGGTCCAATTTCAGGCTCTTCTATCCCAGACAACTCCTAAAGAGTACATCCAGTGGTGCTGTGAGATGCTGCATGCAGGTGTCTAAGCACTACCTGTCTCCACTTAGGCTGCAACTCAGTCCAGTCTACTTCTTGTTTTCTCCAATATAGTTTTCTTTTTTTTAGCTTTTTATTGTGAAGTGGGGTGAAGGTTTACAGAATAAATCAGTTGTCCATTCAACAATTCATACACAGTTTCATCTCGTTGACAGTAATCCCTACAGGAACCATCTCTTATCCCACAATCTCCCTGTTCCCAGTTTCCATTCCTCCTTCTTTCCTAATCCTTCTGAACTTTATCCTTGGGAAAATGCTGCCCTTTTGATCTCAAATGGCTGATGATTCTAAGGTATATGATCTCCCCAGTGTTATTATTCCCCATACAGTATCTTGCTGATGTGGAATCCTGGTGTGGTACTTATAGGCTAAGCACTGGACTGCAGTGTTGGTTTGAACTACATTGGTGGTTCAAACCCTCCAGCCACTCCTTGGAAACCCTATACAAGGTTGTTATGAGTCAGAACTGACCTGACTGGCATTTAATAACAAGAATAACAATGGGGTAATGAATTTAGTTTGGTTTGGGTTTTAATTCTGCCAACTGCATACATGATTTCCAGTGGAGATTCATTCCTACCATTTGGTCACTGATCAAGCTGTTAGTATACAGAGCACTTTCCCAAAAACAAAAAGGATTTATTCAGGGTGCTTTGTTCTTCCTTTAGCATGCTTGTTATTTTCCTTTTATTTGACACATGGGAAAGAACCTTAAATTTTAAAGGAAAAGAGAGGATAAAGACTGTCACGGATGTAATTGTGTTCCCTGAAAATTTGTGTTGTGACTCCAAACTCTGATATCTGTGGTTAAAGAGCCTTCGAGGCATAGGGGGTAAATGTTGGGCTTACTAACCACAAGGTAAGTAAGAGGTTCAAACCTACCAGCCATTCCATGGGTGTCTGCTCCTGCAATAATGTACAGTCTCAGAAACCCTATGGAATAATTCTATTCTGTATTATAGGGTCACTATGAGTTGACATCAACTCAGTGACAGCGAGTACAACTGTGCTTATAACCCCACTTGAGGATAGGTTTTCTTTGTTATATTACGAGGTACGTTTTAAACCAATCTCCTTTAAGATATAAAAAGAATAGATTAGGACATGGAAGCAAGATGGGGAAGATTTATGCCATACCACCTGAAGATGGCCAAGGAGCCAAGGAACAGAAACGGAAGAGGCGCACGCCCACAGAGAGAGACCCTTCCCCCAGAGCTGGCACTCTAAATTCCACCGTCTAGCCTTCTAAATTGTGAGAAAATGGGTTTCTGATTGTTAGTGCCACCCATTTGTGGGATTTTAATTATAGCAGCACTAGCAGTCCTGATGTGGCGCTTTAGGATAAACACTGGACTGTAACAGCATGGCAGCTCAAATCCTTGGAAACCCTCCACAGTGTTAGAACTCACTCGACGGCACTTTTACAGCAATAGGCAACTAAGGCAAGGAAAGAGGTAGAAAAATAAGACTTTTCACTTCACATATATGATCACAAATATTCCCTTGCCATTGTTTTGGATAGTTTCATCTTAAAACGTGGGAGTGGTGTGGGGAAAGGGGAGCAGGGTTATGTCCCCTGGTGATGTGAATGGGGGCCTGGCGCTAGTGGTTGTGAGCATCTGTCTCTAGATTAATATGTTTGGGAAAGAGAACTGGAGGGGAATGGGTAGAAAGCCATTCACTGAAGTCAAATTCATGATTTGTTTTTTATGTCTTAAATTTTCATTTAAGTTCCTTTCACCTGGGTGAGAAAAGATTATTAAGCAAATGCCGTGTGTGGCCCTCTATGTCTACTAACAGGAATAACAGCATTTCCAGCTGCAGGTTTCCTCAGCAGCCAAGCTCAGGAAAGGTGAGAAGACACTGGCCCTAGACCTTCACACAGCAGGGTCAATCAGTAGTATCTGAGTTCAGCTTGTAGTGCCTGTACTATGTACTCCAGAGGGAGCAAGAGATTCTGTTCTTAAGCATTTATAGGAGAATGCTTGGTTTTTAGCATTAAAACCGTGCAATGTTCTTGAAGACCAATAGAATTTCTGTTGACTGTTGTTGTTAAGTGCCAAAGAGTTGGTTACGACCCATAGCGACCCTGCATGGGGTTTCCTAGGAGCAGCTGGTGAGCCTGAACCGTCGACCTTGCAGTTCAAATTGACTTGGCAGTCCAGCGCATTAACCCACAGTGCCACACCAGGACTGCTGACTTGTAGTGATAAGGTTTTAAAGAGGGAAGAAGATGTGTCTAGTTCTTAGCTGTTGTTTTCTATGGCATGAAACCATGAACGATGGTGAGAGACCGCAGAGCTGGGATTGAGTGTTGTGTGTGTGTTTGTGTGTGTGTGTGTATGTGTGAGAGAGACACAGAGAGGACATTCATCAACATTCCCTAAGGAGTCCCTGGTTGGTACAAACAGTTTAACAGTTGGCTGCTAACAGAAAGGTGGGCCGTTCAAATCTACCCAGAGGTACGTCAGAAGAAAGTCCTGGCTCTCTGCATCCAACCACTAGAGCTTGAAAATCCTACAGAGCACAGATCTACATTGAAACATATGAGGTCGACATGAAGTCAGAATCATATTTATGGCAACTTAAAAAAAAGAAAAAATCATTCTCCATGATCAATAGTAGAGTCTCAGTTGCTCAGGTTGTTTTGGGTGATGGCTGTTTCTGCATTTGCCTCAAACTGCTTCTGTTAATAGCAGATTTATCAAAATCTTGTCTAGGCTACCATACTTCCTTGCAGTTTCAATAGATTCATTAGCTGAGGATTTGAAAACTTACCTTTCAAAGTACTGACACACTGCTTCTCAGAAGGCTGCCCTTGGCGAGGAGGCCCAGGGACGAGGGATTCCACGTGGACGCAGTACAGGGTGTCTGGCTGCAGCCAGCTGAGCACCAGCGAGTGGTTGGTCTCATACTGCAACCACTAGGTCATGGAATTGCAGACAGTAGTTAGAACCTATGCCTGCAGGCACTATCGCAAACCCAAGACTCTCACATGGTTAGATCATTTACTTACCTACACATCTCCTTTTAGGAACAGCTTTAAACTACTCTCCTCCTTTTGCTCAGTAGAGTGTGGCAGGAGTGAAATGAGTACAATTTTAAAGACAGTGAAACCCGCAAGAGCCAGAATGTGACAGGACTGCCTTGTTTTTTCCAGGTTTTGCAAGTTTTCTGCCTTTGACAGGGCACACTCTTATCACTTTACTATGGCCTGTTTAGTGGAACATAATTTGCTTTTTCATTCTCAGACAGGTTTCTGCCTTACCCAGGTTCTGGCTTTTGCAGGTTTCATTGCAATATCATATCAATGAATGTGCTTATTGAACTTTGCTTTCTCTTTAGCTAAACTTTTTTTTTTTTAACCTTCTTGGAACATGACTGACAGATACTATACAAAAGTTGGTAATAAATAACAGGAAAAGCTCTCAGAGTGACATAGAGGATCTCGCTACACTCCAATAGTGCTAACGGTGTTTCTGTAAAGAAAATCTGAAGGCAGTTCTAATTTTCTTCACATGAGTTTCAACTGTATCTTGTATGCCATCTCTTTAGAGCATCACTTCTCCCCAGATTCACATGCAGAGATCAGAGCACCATGGTTGCTTGATCCAGCACTAGCTACAGAACATGCTGGGACGATTTCCTGCCCCATTCAGCGTCAGGCTTACCGTTCTATTGGATTTGGCATTGTACACGGACACAGTGTACTTCAAAGTGGGATATATTTCTTGCATGGAAACAAAACCTTCTTCTGAACTTCTCTTCCACTTCTCTGGGGCCGTCAGAACAATTGACAGGGACTTTTCATCAGTAGACAAAGCAACTGCTGGTGGGCCAATTTGTGCTTAAAGGGGAAAGAGAGTAAATAGAATATTTTCATGTTCAAATGTAAACATCACTTGGAATATAATCCTACTGGGATCAAAGGTGGGTCCAGACTATGCCAAGTCTTGAAACAATCATTCCATATACTCTGACACAGAAGGCTGAAGCAGCAAATTCACGTGTTAGATTTACTTTTTTAGTCACATGAACAGTATTTGGAGTGCTGGTGTGGTGCTGTGGGTTAATGTGCTGGACTGCAAAGTTGGTTTGATTCTCAAGGTTGGCGTTTCAAGCTTACCAGCTGCTCCTTTGAAACCCTATACAGGGCCTCTGTGGGCTGGAACAGACTCAATGGCACTTAACAATAACAACAAACAGTGTTTGAAAATAACGAATAGAGTTAAGAGTTTATATCTGTGACTTGAAAAGTTGGCGATAAATAACATTTACATGATTTTATGGAATAAAAATAGACATGTCGAAATAAAGAGCTGCTTAGCAAATTAAGTACTGGACTGCTAACCAAAAGGTCGGCAGTTCAAACCACCAGCCACTCTGTGGGCAAAAGATGAGGCTTTCTGCATTTGTAAAGATTTATAGCCTTGGGAACACTATACAGGGTCTCAATGGGTCAGAACTGCCTATATGGCAGTGGTGGTGGTGGTGGTTATGTGCCGTGGAGTCAATTCTGACTCATAGCGACCCTGTGCAGGGTTTCCAAGGCTGTAAATCTTTACGGGAGCAGAAAGCCTCATCTTTCTCCTGCAGAACAGCTGGTAGTTTGGAACTGCTGACCTTGCGGTTCACAGCCCGATTCGTAACCACTACGCTACCAGAGCTCCTTCTATGGCAGTGCTCAGTTGTTTTTTTAAAAGTCTTTTTTAAAGCTTTTCAGAGATGTGATTGGAACGATGTAGAACAGAAGTCAACAGATTTTTACCATAAGGGGTCAGACAGTCAACAGTTTAGAGTTTGCAGGTCACATGATTTCCATCACTATTCAACTCTGCTTTTAGTGCAGAAGTGGTCATAGAAAACGTAAATGAATGAGTGTAGCTGTCTTCCAATAACACTTTATTTGTAAACACTGAAATCTGAATTACATATAATTCTCATGTGTTATAAAATAGTCTTTTAGCTTTTTAAAAATGGATGTGAAATGAATGTGACATAAAAGGAACCAGTCTGAAATGAATGATTCAGTGGTATTTAATACAGTCACACTATTACACAACCACTACTTTTACCTAGGAATCCTGGTGTGGCACTGTGGGTTAATGTGCTGCACTGCAAAGTTGTTTGAACTGCAAGGTTGGGGGTTCAAGCTCACCAGTTGCTCCTCAGAAACCCTATACAGGGTCGCTATGGGTTGGAACCAACTCATCAGCACACAACAACAACAACTTTTACCTAATTCCAAAACATTTTCATTACCCCAGAAGAAAACCCCAAACTCATGAAGCAGCTCTTCCCCATTCCCACTACTCTCAGTCCTTCGTAATCACCAATCTGTTTTCAATCTCTGTGGATTAATTTATTCAGAACATTTCATATCAGTGAAATCATGTACTAAGTGGCCTTTTGTGTCTGCCCTCTGTCACTAGGCGTAATACTTTCAGTGTTCATTTAGACTATACCCTGTACCAGTACTTCATTGCTTTCTATGACTGAATACTATTTTATTCATTGCATATATATAATTGTATAAATATATTTGTTGTTGTTGTTGTTGTTAAGTGCCGTTGAGTCAGTTCCGGCCAATAGTGACCCTGCATAGGGTTTCCAAGGGGCAGCTTGTGAGCCTGAACCACCAACCTAGTGGTTCAAAGTGACATTGCTGTCTGATGCATTAGTCCACAGTGCCATACCAGGACTCCATATAAATATATATACACACATATAAACAGAATTTATATATTTATTTATTTATTCTAGCTATTTAAAAATGTAAAATGCTTTCTTAGCTCTTGGGCAGTAGACAACAGGAAAGGAGGGAAGGGGACTGGGTTTGGCATCAGGGTTGTTATCTGCTCAATCATCTGCTGCCATCTGATCTGGAAGGACAGCAGGGAACAGCTCCAGGCCCCTGGAGTACCTGGGAAGGCCATTGGGATGGCTCTGAGGCGGCCCTCCAAGCCTGGGTCAACCACAGATCCGGGGATGGCAACATTCAAACAGCCAACACCAGAAAGCCACTGCCTGAATTCTAGAAACTGCATCATTGCACTGCTGTGTTTATAACAAGAAGAGACTTAGTTTGATGATCAGGACAATCTTTCATCAGTCTTATGGACACATATCAGTGAAACCTACAACATTTAAATAATCTATTATAATTGTTCCTCAAATTACATAACTCTGCTAAGTCATAATACAAAATCAAATTTTATTTATTATAGGAATCTAATATCAATTTTTGGGTCTTGGTGTGGTACTGTAGGGATAAGCTCTGTACTGCCAGCTACAAGGTTGGTGGTTCAAATGCATCAGCTGATCCTTGGAAACCCTATACTGGGTCATTATGAAATGGGACCAACACACTAGCATTTAACAGCAGCAGCAGCAGCAATTTGGGGACTGGGAGAGGTCATTCTAAGGATAAGACTTAGACTTTGAGAGATGAGGTGCCCTTACCTGGCCAATTGGCCAACTAGTGCCAAATGGAGCCAGCAATGGCTTCTGGGTGAGGCTGTTTAGGGGCTGGAGCTATTAAACTAGGAGGTCAGATTGACTTCATAATAACACAGGCAGACTCCTTGTGTGGTGCTGTAGGATCAGCACCAGACTGCGAACCACAAGGTCTGGCAGTTCAAACCTACCAGCTTCTCCTCAGAACCCTATACAGCATTACCATGAGTCGGAATTGACTCAATGGCACTTAACAACAACAACACATGCATAACAGACAATGGTTTTACTTACTTTCTAAATATGGGTAGAATCGTCTAGTTTCTGTCCATTTGGAACAATTTGTTTTCCAAATGGCCTTAACTTTGCCATAATATTGTTGTTCATAGTCAGAGGTTTCAGCTGAGAGATCACAGTACGTCCTATTGATTTTCCTGCACTCGGACGCTTCCAGCCATTTCTTCTGTCCGTATCTGCTCAGAAGAACACTGAATTAATAATGAAGTGCCCCCTATGATTTATAATTTTAAACAGTCATTATCTAAAACTGAATGGAGAGTAAGAGCTTCTCTTCAGAAAAACAAAAATGCCAGTCACTGAGATTTTATTTTTTTTAATGCATTTTTGCTGCTGGCAATTTTTTTTCATTAGCTGTCAGGAACATGAGTCAGAGTTTCTGTAATCACCTTCCTTTTCTGTGAGTTACAATGTGCACAGGACATTTTGAAAGCATCTATTTTGTTATTATGCCTTAAAGAGTTTACATTTTGTGTGATTAATTCTTCTGGTAATTCTTTAGATCAGCTTCTAGTCCATCATGAATATTAAGGTCAGTGTGATGGGTTGTTTTAAGAAAAGTTCATCTCTTTTTTCTTTAAAGACAATTTACTTTGGAATTCGTATACAATTTAAAATTCAAGTGTTCTGGGGAAAAGTTCACTAGACTGAAGTATACACCCAAATCTACATTTTTAATAATTAGAGTGATGATGGTATTGACTTGGTTGCTCATATCTATGATTTCTTTCCTTTGTTGGAGACACAGCACCCATAACAAATAGGGAGGAGGAGTATCTCTAGTCCTTGTCAAGTGAAGAGTCTGAAGTATACAGAGTTTTAAGAGGCCTGTAATGAACCAGTGGAAGAGATGGTGCTAGAATATAGAGTCTGTACAACAGAGAACTCGAGAACTTTATTTGAATGCTTTTATTTTGACTAATATTTAAGTGATTGGTACAAATCTGTCTATTGAAGCTTATCATGAAATGTAATCAAGTTAAAGAATTTTCTCCATGGCTTTTAGCCTAGGCTCTTCTTAGGCCAAAGATATAGAGAAAAAATATCCAAAGGCTCTTCCAAGTAACTGTAATTCATTCCACCATGAAGGGAATTCAGTTCACTAGTAACAACATCAGCAGCAGCATCCCCTTCCACTTGTTGAGTGATGCCTACTTGTCTGATACTTTAAGTATCAGTCACAACCCTCACAACAAGCTCTTGGGGGTGGGTGTTATTAACCCCATTATCCATTCTCTGGAAAATAAAAGTAAGTGAGCTAGCTGCTGTTCAGGGCTACGAAGAGTGGTGGAATCTTTCATCCCAAGTGTATGTTCTGTCACAATACTATCAAACTGATAACATGAGAGAAGGAACTATTACATCCAAGTGTCATCTAACGTAAGGATAGCTGATCAGAGAGAAAACATAATGCACATAAATGATGTAGAATCAGCACTGGACTGCGAACCAGAAGGCCCAGAATTCAAACCCACCAGTCACTCCTCAGAAACTCTATTCAGGGTCACTGTGAGTCAGAACTGGCTGGATAGCACTTACGAGAATAACAATCAGCACCAGGGCGCTGAGTACAAATTGGTTCTTGACAAAGAAGTATTAATGTACAAGCATTTCTTGAGCACTACCATGTGGCCATTGATGTCCTTGGGTCTGGAAACATAAAGACACACAACAGCCATGGAACTCAGCTAAACAGAGAAGATGAAAAACCAAATAAATGTAAAAAAGTGATGAAGATTAGGCTAGGGGAAACCCAGATGTAGGAGAATGCAGATGATATGGAAACTTAGGCCCCAGTTAGGTAAAGGCCTTCAAGAAACAATGGGATTTAAGTTGAGGCATAAAGGATGAAAGTCTTAAGAATTAAAGAAAGAAATGAGTGTTTCCAAAGAAGGAAGAGCCTGGGTGAAGGACAGTCACTAGGGAGATATAGAAGTGTTTTTGGTGTGGTGGGATAGTCGAAGTGGAGCATGGAGTCTGAAGAGGTGGGTGGAGGTGGAGGAGGGTCATGATGAGGGAGATGAAGCATTTTGAAGGAGTGTTGAGGGACAAGATCGGAGACACATTTTAGAAAGCTGACTCAGGTAGCAATGCCAGAATGTAATGGATAGAGGTTAGGAACAGCAGCGTGGGAAGCAGCAGAAAGAATATTGCAGTTTTCCAAGTAGACGATATAGATGTTTTGGATAAGGACGGTGGCACTGGAACTAATAAAAATTAGCAAAATAAAGAAATAACTTGGAGACAGAACTTGGTAACTGAAAAACTGTAAGAGACTGGGGTGTCCCTGGTGGTGCAAATGGTTAATGCACTCAGCTGCTAACCAAAAGATCAGCAGTTTGAATTCATCCAGAGGCACCTTGGTAGGAAAGCCTGATGATTTCCTTCTGAAAAACTAACCATTGAAAATCTGGAGAGCACAGTTCTCCTCTGACACACCTGGGGTCGCCATGCATCGGAAGGGACTCAATGGCAGCTGATACTGATAAGAGGTTAGGAAAATGAAGGTGTTAAGAATTCCTGCTTCTGTTTGGGTAGATGGGTAGAAAAGTGATACATTTATCAAGATAAGAATGACAAGAAGAGTACGTTTGGGAAATGGGGTTGGTTGGAGGAGGGAAAGAGAATGAGTTTAGTTTTGACGTGTTGAGCTTGCAGTATGGAAGAAATCCAAAAGTAGTTGTCCCATAGGCAGTGACACTCAGGAGTGGTGTCTGCAGGAGGCAGAGGTTTCAGACTCAGTGGCAGACAACTGCTTATTAAATGCACAAGCATGAATAAAGTAATCCAGGGAGAGAAAGCAAAACCTAGGCTAAAACTTCAGATTAATCAAGATTTAAAGGTTGGGTATGAAGTAGACACAACAGCTAAGATGGAAAATCACAATAGTTAATGGAAGAGTGTGTCCCAAGAAGAAAGAAGTGTGAACATTATCAAGATTACCACCAAACCTTAGGGATGCCTTCCCTTTTCGAAAGATATAAAAAATTTCTGACATAGACCCTAAAAGTAAATCTCTCCTGTTTTGTTAAGAACTTTATCTGATAAAATATTAAAACTGTAGTTAGACCTTGTGGATGAACGTCTCCGTTCGAGTGATCACCACTGCCCAGGGACATTCAAGCTGTTTTGACTGTGATCCACAGACAGGAAAACATTTCACATTGTGACAAACCTCAAAGAACATACATGTATCTAACATACTGTAACAAAAAAAGTTTATAGTTCCCAAGCTTTATTACATGCCATGCACTCGGTTATTTCCTATTCTACTCTGTTGCACCCCACCCCATTCCATTCCTTTCCATTAAAAATGATGATAATTATGTCCCTTGAAATTGATCTCATGGCCCATTAATGGGGTCTTGACTTGCAGTTTGAAAAAACTGCGGTAGCTTGTCTAACTTTCAAACCTCTTCAAACTTCCTCACTCTACAAGGGGCAACCAGAGCAGCATCCCATGATACATGCTGATGAATGAGACTGTCTGACAAGCTGGTAGACATAAATCATTCAGCAAATATTCTAGAAATTATGTGCATGGATCATTTGGGGCCTCTGTGGTGTCTGTTTCTCAGTAATAACAGGAAACATTTACCAGGTGCCTATTTTGCGCTGGGATAGATGAGTAGGACATGCTTCATCTCATGTAATTATCATGACAGCTCTAAAAGGTGGTGACCATTATTTTCATTCTATTTTACAGCTGTGGAAACTGAGGCTTACTCAAAAGGATTAGAGGACCACCTCAAGTTCACATGTCTAGTAAAAGGCCTATCTGGGATTTGATTCAGGGTTCTGTGACACCAAAGTTTGTGCTCTCAGTGTAACAGTATTATCTTCTGCATTAAAGTCATTTGCTGATATAATGTAAACATTTGTTAAAATTATATCTTTTACTTGAAAATACAGTTGCTCAAAAGAATATGTAACTTTCAAGGTTGTGCAGCTGGTTTCCTGTCCTGGCTCTGAGCCGAAGACAGGCTGGCTGCAAACATGAACTGGGAGCGCTCTGGCAGGGAACTCTTGTCTCCCATATTCCTGCCCAGTGTCCACAGGCTTAGACATGTAAGAACACCTCGCTAACAAACTTCTTTTAATATATTCTTTTTTTAAAAAGTTGCACAATCTAAATGATCTACATTCACAGAGCAAGGCTGACTAGGCCTTGAAACATAAAAAAAAATTAAAAAAAAAAAATCTTTCTGAACCACAGAAACACTAAAAACAGAGCAAGCTTTTTGCTCCACCTAATGGGCTCAAATGTAACAACAGTTGTGAGGATGGTGTGCATGGGATGACTGTAAGGCAGAATCGACTCTATGGCACCTACCAACAGCACACAACAACGTAAGAGGAGGTGAGGGCATACTTGTGAGCCATTTCCTTCAACACTGACAGCTTCTGCTCTAAAACAAAGACTAGCAAGAAACGCCAAGGAAATCAGAGTAAGGTTCTAGGTAGCAGGTCATTGTGAACAGCAGCTGAAGTCTTTCACTGCGTTTAGTAATTAGAATGATTTTCCCTCAAAAGTTAAAAATGACTTCATTGTTTTTATAAATTATCAGACATGATTTTTCAATCAAACAATTGAAATGCTTAGAAAAATTCAGTCAAGAGATAAAAGCAAACAACTTTGTAACCCATAATCCTGAAACATTTGATGTACCTGATTTGATGTACCATTCTGGGTGGGTATCCAATTCCAAGCTCATGCTTCAATGCAAATACAATGATCAGATAGATAAACATGTGGCTAAAATGAGATTATATCACATATGTGGCTTAAATTTAGCTTGGTTTGAGCTTAACTTGGTTTGATTTTACTTTTTAAAAAGGAAATTTAAGTGGAAAGAGGTCTAATTCTTTTAAAAGTTGAAATTAAAGAAATTTATGAAGTTCTGATGTTTTGCCACAGAGATATCTGTTCTTAAACAATCCGTTAAGTTAGAAAATGGTTTACAAAAATAATGAGAGGTTAGTTATCAAAAAATGAAATATTTCCATTACAATCACATCTAATGCTATGAAAAGAATACACTTATACTTTTCCCCACTTTCTGATTTTGTTAGATTTACTATTATTTAAGTGCAAACATTTCCATGGAGCTCTATAACCATAGTTCCTTCACTGCTTTGTGTTAGTTCTGCATTTAGATGGATTCAATGCAATCCA